GTTTAAAGAATGCCCTAAATCCAGCAACACTGGTGAAACCATTAAACTAAGTTTACATTTTAAGTATTACCTTTTAGGCCAAATAGATTGTTAACGAGGGCCAGATTCAGCCCACAGGCCCTGAGTTTGCCACGTGATAATTGAAGACTTTTCACATCCGATTTACTGTGTTTTTAATCATTATTATAGTGTTTAGTTACGTTAGGCAACTTTAAAGAAAATATGAGTTGCATAACTTTTGAAATGCGCTGTCAATGTTTTCATTTATGTCCAGTTTATCTCCATGGGAAAACTCAAAGGGCAGCATTTGTCACAGATATGGATTATGGTGTATTCGTGCTCCTCGCGGCAGTGTCATGATGTTGCTGCAGCGACTAAACAGACGACCCCTCTGACCTCATATGTTGCAGCCTCGGCCTTGTTAACTCCCAGAGAAACAGTGGCCCCGATGCCAAACCTTCCCCAGGCAGACGAATGAATTCTGTGTTCAGTGAACTGTGGTGACCTGCTAAACTCTGCTGCCTCGCATAAAGAAGTTTAACACTGGCCCAGCTGACTGACAGCACATTTACCTCTGGAGCTGYGCAGCTGCACTTGGGAGGCTTCAACAGAAAGTAATTAATCCAACTTGGCAACATATCTATTTGTTTTAAAGCTGTTAAAAAGGCATCCATCACTAACTTACATTACAAATCTATTCATGTCAAAGAATAATATTTAAATATTAAAAGTCATTGTGTATCAGTGGAGCGGCTGTAGTTTGGCACTTAGCTGGACCTCACAGGTGAACAGATGGCCCATACAATATGTATCTTGAGTACTCAGCCAAATCAGGAAAACACTATTGACTCATCCATCACATGCTAGTTTAAGAAAAAGACTTCCRTGGTGCACACAGGAAATAACCTGATTAAAATGTAAACAAAGCAGTAGGTTGGCAGTTATCCTGTGCCTGCTTTATAGGTGAAAGACAGCACGCTGTCATACAACACAAATGTAAGGTGGATTTATAACTTTCAAAGAAACAGTTAGCGCATTTTAAATTTAGGCTAATGAGAGTTTTTGTTGTCAGCGTTTCCCAACGCAGCCACACTCACGTTTCTGGTGGGATCTTCATCTGCCCATCCGCCACGGGGCACAGCGAGCTGGAGAGGATAATCCACATCAGCATCATCAGCCTCTTTCTGTGTGGCCCACTTCTGTCTGATTTAATGGCATTCCCGCCTTTTCCCGCACACCAGCGGCTTATCTGTGCAGCTGCAGCGACCTGCATCAGTCCAGTGATTGTTGCGAGCTGACTCTGAAACAAAAATGGAAATAAAACAAAAAGTAAAACTTAAAAGTTAACTAAAAACTTGCTTACAAAATCTGTAGGTCTACAGTTTGAAATTACTCTGCTTAGAGCTGGAAATGTAGGTGCTAAGCATTTAGCGTACTGGTAGCATATTTTTAGAGTAAGGAGAAGGCTTAAGGTTACCTGAGATGATTAACAAATAAAAACAACAAAACAAAACAAAAAATAATAATAATTTTATTCCACAAATGCTGAAAATTTTGAAATTAATTTCAGGAAAGCCAACACGTGAAAAAAAGGCGGGAAGACATATTTTGCTGACTGCACTTGCAAAGAAAGTGCAAAACTATTAAAATTAAGAAGTATGTAAAAGAAGTCTGTCTTTTTTGGGAACTAAAAAGCAAAGTATTTTAAAGCAATGATTTATTACCAACAAAAAAACTAATTATACTCACTGTGTCGTGTTTACTGAGCTATAAAGTAGCATGTTAGTCTGAACGGAAAGTTAACAAATCTAGAATAAATTAAAGAATAATCCCAATGAGTAATGTGACGTCAGCTTAGCAGAATGTTCTGACATATGAAAGAGTGTAGGTTTTTGTCTTAGAGCGGCACAGTGAAGCAGTGGTTAGAGCTGTCGCCTCACAGCGAGAAGGTCACAGGTTCGCCTCCCGGCCTCTCTCTGTGGAAATTGCATTTTTTGCTCCGTGCACACGTGGGTTTTCTCCAGGTACTCGGTTTCTTCCCGCAGACCAAAGACATGCATGTTAGGTTCGTCAGTGACTCAGAATCCTCTCTACGTGTCTCTGTGATGGATTTGCAACTTGTCCAGGGTGTCCCCCCACCTCTCGCACAGTGACTGCTGGAGGCAGGCACCAGCTGCTCCAAAACCCRGAAAACAAAAAACGGGTAAAGAAACTGAATGAAYGTAAAAATGAACGGTTTTGCTCTTGGATATCAAAGGTCACATCTGTGCACGACAGGTCACCGGGTCGTCCTGCCATCCTCCTACACGTCCCCCTCTAGGACTCTGTTGTCCACATTTTTCACTTCTCTTTCACAAAATTAAATCTTGAATCCAAAAAAATATATAAAAATAAAATAAAATAAAAAATAAAAGTCAAATAAAAATTAAAAAAAGTCTTTTAACTTCAAAGAAATTCACTCCTTTTCAGACATATTCCCAGATGAAATGCTGCAGTTTGCTCCCCGTGTTGACCTCACGTCCTCCCAGTTTTAAAAACACACAAATAAAAAATATGCAGAAAGGACGTTGGATGGATGGATTGTTAAACAAATTGTACTCCCTCTCTCCCTAGAGTTTCTCCTCCTCTCCTGCACCACTTTATACCATAATCCAGGCGGGATTAAACCCCTCCTCCCGCTATCCCTCCTGTTTTTTCCTCTTTCTCTCTACATCCCTCGTACAACCTGCCCACACCGACACACAATCTCCCTCTTCTGTTTTTATCTTTTAACCCCACTGTCTCCTACTATTCCCTGCCTATTTGTATGGTTTGTCCTATTTTGCTCTTAATCTGCCTCACCAGAAATTCTCTCATTCTGTATTGTTGGTTATTTAGCCTGTTTAATTCATCTTCTTGTTTTTTTTAATTTTTAAACACCAATGAATGAATACATTAATAGAATAAAAAATGGGAATGATAATAGGAGAAAGGAAAATAAAAGTCCTGTGTGATGATTTGTTATATTTATAGAGAGGATGAAGACCTTTTGACACAGAGACATCTAGTGGATTMTTATTGCTACACACCTTTTAGGGTTTCTGTGTCGCTGAGGTTATCTTCTACCTACAGCTGTCAATCAATTTGTATTATCTAAAGAGAAAATAGATGTATGTTTGAATTTATTTGGAAAGCAATAAGCAGAGAGTATTGCACTTTTTYTCATTCCTTACTTTAAATTAAACAGATTTTTGGTTGAGCAGTGTTCACACCTTAGCCTGGCAGAAAACTAAAAATAAATAGTAATTTAGAATATTTGCACATATTTTCTGATGCAATGTTTTTGTAAAAGACCGTCTAAGTGAAGGAATGTGATTGTTGCCAGTTTAATTGTGTCAAGTAAACATATAAAAAACAGTAATAAATATAATATTAAAAGTAATAAGTATTTTGTAAATTGTGTTTTCTAGCTCAATATAAAACATTCCATCCCTTCATTCACAATTCAAACCTCAGTCCTAAACCTAACCCAAAAACTGACATTTTCCTGTGCAGGATCAGACTTTTGTTCCTGTAAGGACTACTGGTCCTGACAAGGTGGGCGATCAATCTATAAAATGTCCTAAAAAGTAACAAAAACCAGTTAGACACACTGACAGTACTCATCCTCTCATCAAGCAAGATCACGAATAGTCCTAGCTACTTTCCTCCAAAATAAGTTATTTAAGAGTTTTGTCCCAAATATAATCTGATTTTATACTGAAATATTAGTCAGTTCAACAAATGTCATTTATGAGAATGAAGCAGCAACATCCAGTAGGAGTATTTATATTTGTTTAAAACACAAGTCACTATTTTATTCACTTGGTAAGATCATGCTTGTTTTATTTTCATCTTAACCCAGCAACCTAATCTACTGTTTGAACACATAAAAGCTAGAAAATAACAGCATTAAAAGCACAAAGATCCATTACGTTTTCAGAAATATGCAGGAATAAAAAAGAGAAATGCAGTTTACTCACCTTTGTCCTGCAGAAGCTAATTATAGTTCCGAACTGGGTTTTCCACAGTCAGCTCCACTCTATGAGACTTATTATTTAAAGACCCAAAAATAATTGTAGAAATAATACCACTTGACTCATCAAGTTGAAGTTAAAACGGTTAATGTGACGAGCTGGAGGGCACCGACCATCTGAGAATACAAAAGCAGCTAAAGTGGAGCCTGCCTGTGTGGGCATGGACACACACAAACACACACACACAAGAAAWCATTGATTACTCGAAGCCGGCGCTAATAGTCAGCCTTTACTTTTAGCTCCATCAGCTAAACCAATGATCTGGAACCTCCTCGTCTCAGAAAAAGGCGTGTGTGTCTAACTCCTGCAAAACAAAAGATTTGGTAAGTATTTTTGCATAATGTGACATGAGCTTCAGTATTACAAGTCACTTCAAAACGAATGCACACACTAATCCCAAAGAGTCCTGGTTTCAAACTGGATGTTTGCTTCCGTTGCTGTAAAGGCTGATGGTGATTTGAACAGGATGCCACAGTTTGTTGGGACGAGGAAGCAGGAAGGAAAGGAGACAAGGATCTCATGCTGATGAAAAGGAAAAAGGAGCAAAGGGCTGTCATCATTTCACCTAATATCAACAGTTTGCACATTTTACCACATTATATAACCATTTGTACTGCACAAACAACATAAACAATGAAACTGAATAACCCAGTGTGCAAAATATATATTTTGCAAAAAAAATAATTAAATAAATAAAAAAATAAAAATATATAATAAAATAAAACTATCGAGAAGTTTTGTCACTTTTATATTTTACCTTTTAATGCATCAAGGGACATGAAAACAGTTTCTTAAATCAATGCATATATCCGCACACTGGGGTGTAAAAAAAAAAAGGCGATTTTTTATTTCCTGATTTTGTATTGATTCTCAGAAGCAGTGTRTCGATTTTTAATTAAGGCTTAATGAATTGATGTTGTAAGAAGAAATGTGAAATACAAATGCATTTCTCACTATTGTTCAATGTTCTGATTGCATAAAAAGAATCTGAATTTATGATTTTATGCATGTTATCTTCTTTAAGCTGTTTTTTTTGTATTTTTTTGCATCGATTTTACAAATAAATTTTAATTGTTCTGTTTTCTTCTGATTGAATAAAAATAATCTGAATTCAATAAGATTTTATGCTTGTAATGCAGTGTGCTCTTCATGTTGTTTTTAAAAWTTTGAATATTTTGGAGAAAAAAAGGCACTACATTGCTATATACTGCAATATATCATATTACCAAATTCTTGCTGATACACAGCCCTGAATAAATAAAAAATATGTTTTTAACAAAGACATTTGAGATCAGAGTAGCTACTTGTTGGGAATGACTCTCGGCTAGAACCACACCAAATTTCAGCTCAACTTCTGTAAAAATGAATGTGTAATAAATACATATACTGTAAATATAGTTTACTGTAAAATCCTCTCATCCTTATTAGAGTAAAAAAAACTTCACAAATTCACACATAAGAAATTCGTATCTATAAGTCGACCATCCTCTTATTTTCTTGTTATGTGATCTTGACAAACAGTGAAGAAATTAACAGTGGAAAAACCAATATTGTGTTAGTGTGAGTTAATTGGCCAAGGTCGTTTCCTGTTGTGTAAAAAACCACTGATAAACTGTGGAGGGCATTATTATTGATTGGATTAAAACAAGGCAATAAAGTGACATTAAAGCAATAACGGGAGCATACTTTTAGTAACTGGTGCAACTTGCAGTTTTATCCATCMTAAAGAAAGATAAATCTCAGAACCACTCAACCCACCCAAAAAATAAATAAAAAAATAAAAAAAGACTGGGACATTTAATAGCCAATGAAAATATTTATTTTAGTTTAACAA